AGAGGCGGGGAAAGAGCTGGTGCAACCAGCTGGCCATGGTTCCTAAGGTTTTCCCGTGGCTGAATGAAAACCCATGGGTCAGACCTGGGCCTAAAAGTACATTCCAAACACAAATAAATAAAATAAGGCTACAGTGCTGTCAACAGTTCTAAGGAAAAGAAAGTCCAGTTTGCGGTGCCTAGTTGTCCTTCAGTAAAATACTCATCTGCTTCATTCATTATACTAAACAAGCTCTTTTGTCTCTGCCACCAACCAGCTGATCACAACCCCCAAGGCGGACAACACCATGTATGTACAGCAGCGAGATGAATATCTGGAAAGCTTCTGCAAGATGGCAACGAGGAAGATCTCAGTCATTACAATTTTTGGCACCATGAACAACAGCAGCATGAAAATCGACCACTTCCAGCTAGGTTCTTCTTTTTTAATTTCTTTCCATCTTGTGGGCACAATACAGAGAGCAAAGGGAGAAATCTCCCCAGCTTGGGTCAAGATCTAAGCAAGATCATTTGTTGTGGTCCAGTTGCACTTTTGAATCCATTCCTCCTCCTTTCATGCTAACTACCCCCTTGTTGTATTTACGTAAGCCTATCTGGTATTTCTGATATTTAGGCTTCCAGTGGTATGACTTAAGCACCTTCAGCTTTCTTTTTGGGAATTCTTAAAGCCAGTAAAACAGTAAAATAATGAAAAGGCAAAAAAAAAACGTGATGAGGGCATGGGACAGAAAGATGAAATTAGGTTCACCTCTATCAATACCTTGAATACCTACCTCACTGTCTAACTGAATGGCTTGCCTTATTACAATGCCCTTGTTTTTTTGCAAGACATCAGCCATGGGTGGCTAGATATTGGCTAGCATGATTTAAACTCTGCTCAAAGAAACTGGCTGTTGTCATGAAGGAGAGGAGGCCATGGGCAGGAAATGCTGAAGGGAACTGTTCAAAACTAAACCCAAATTAATCCCAACCTGAAGTTCAACATCGTTATCTCCCCACTCTGCCATATAACATTTTCTCATGGCTTTGTGCTCCTCACAAGGTCCTAGAAAAAGCTTCAGTGGCATGCACTGGGTAAACTCAGGATAGAGAGAATCATAACTATTAGATCCCTTGCTGTGAGTTCCTTTCCTTCCCTTCCCTTCCCAGGATCAGGTTTCCTGGGCTTAAGAGCTGATTTTGATATGTTCACAAAATTGAGTATTCTCCTACATGTTATCCTCCACAGTAGGAGGGCGTCCAGGTGCATTTTCCCCTCTGTACTGGTAAATATATCAATTTAGAAGATTTTAACCATAGTTTCTAGGTACGCACAACCTTACAAATTTGCACCATTTACTGCCTCTCTTTACCTGTAAAGCAAGATACCCATCAGTGTGACTGCTTACTGCTACCTCTTTGAGAGGTTCATCTCACTGATGAGGTTCGGAGGCACTATAAATCAGACTATGCAGGACTTGCAAAATAGCTCATTCAGCCATATTTAGTACCCCCTTCTTTACATGGAGTTCCCATACAGACAGGTGACACTGGGCATCCATCTCTCTTAGCTTTGAAACAACTGGTGTCACTGTTCAGGTCCTGGGGAAGCACCTACCAAAGCCAGTGAGAACCTTTCCTTTCACAACAGCAGGGTTTGGATAAAGACTTCAGGTCACAGTCCAGCAAAGCACTTAAGCTTAGGTGTCTCTAGAATCATGTAAACAATCTCGACGCTGTCTGTGTCTAAAAGTTAACACCATCGTGAATGCTTTGCTGGACGAAGGCAAAGAAATAGTATAAAAACTGCTAGTTTTTCTTATTGAGTCCCTCACATGTTTCCTTCAGAAGTTCATCTGTTTTTACCAGACCTTGGTGAGAGATGTATGATGGAACAGAAAGCTCAGGACCTCACCAGCTCTAGGGTATTTCAGGTCTGGCATAAAACAGGCCAGAAGATCACAGATTAATATCTGACTTCTAGCCATGCCTCTACTACTCTCAGAGGGGGAGGACCTAGAAGGAGCCCAGGAGCCTTTTGTCCCTGAATGACAGCGAGTCACAAATCCTGCCAGACTGTCCATTTGTGCACCTCCTTGAAAATTCTGGAGCGGTATGGGATTTTCCACACCAGGCCAAGGTTACTCAAGGTCACTTTTTGTGTACCTAGACCCACTTGCCTGCCAGTGGACTGTTTAAGATTATATTTAGCTCCAGTCTGGCTAATAAACAGATATTCACTCTGACATAGACCATACTCTTTCAGCCTGTTCCAAACTTAATCTACACCCAAACTTTCCCCAAACCACATAAGTGTATATAACAGCTGAATTCTTACAGGAAGAATTAACTTGTTGAGGAAAAGCAGAAGACTTAAAAGTGTGTTAGTTAAACCTTCCATGAAGTTCACCTTACATTTTTTCACAAAACACTAAATCCTGAGCTTTTTTAAAATTTTAAATAATACAAACGTCCTTCCATTCTACCTCTCCTTTCCTCTACCCTTCATGCTTTCATGGCCTCTTCATGACTCACTCTCTGTCAGCACCAGAGGCAGCAAAAGCCCTGAGAAACAGTTTGTTCACAGTATTTATGTTCTAGTGAGAAGCCTTAGCACCCAGCATTATGACACCTACTTGTAGTGCTGCATCTTGGGACCGAAATACAAATGACAACAGAAAAATCCACAGAAAGACTTTTCGCTGGAAATTTCAAACACATTTAGAAGTAGCAAATGAAAAAGAGTTCATTAATAGTGTTTGGCCAAGACTAGCTCATACTGAAACCAAAGAGTGTTTCCCAGTTTCCCGCTGCAATGACACAAAAGCAGAGTGTCACTGCAGAGGTCTTCTCTTCACCCCAAGTCAGCCATGTGGTCTCTTTTCCCCAACTCATGGGGACAGTCATTAGTCAGCCTAACACCAGTGCCAGGCTACCTACCTTACAAGGCAATACCTAATCTATTAGGCGAATGTACTGCTATAACAAACTGATGAACTTCTTTGCAACTTCATTTGAGTTACTTCTAAAGAGTAACTCATCTTCCCACCCTGTCTAGCTGCTAAAGATGTGTGGAGAAAAGTTTCCACACTCTTTTGGTGAACTTTCTAGGAAGAGTGAGAACTCTCTAGGTAGCAGCAGACAAGTCTCAGCTCCCATTGATTCAATTCTCATTGATCTTCATGGTGATCCTAGATGTCCTTTATGAGCTGGAGGTCAGGGACAAGTAGTGAATTGGAAAGAGGCAATCAGATTCCTTTCTCCTTTTTTAGTAGAAGTCATTTCCAATTTTGAAAGGCAGGCTAGCCTTTGTGGTATTATTCTTTATTTCCCCAAAACATCTTTTTCTATATTGCTCTTATAATTTCATTTCCTTCTTTATATTTTAAGTTTTGAAAGAAAACCTCCTAACAATGAAACTCTAAAGCACTATCTTCACATTGATAACTGAAGTCTTTAAAGCAGAAAAGTGCCATAGGTCAGTTGGTCTAAGGTACTGCACCATCACATTTCTGAATAACATTTTTTGCATTATTCTGCCTCCATATAGGCCAAAGAGGTAGTGTCTGCTTTTATAGGGAGTTGTTTACAGGCATCAGTATGAGTTTTTGGTCTGTATTTTAATGGTCATGCTTGTCACTAGTAACATGCAAATCTTACTTGAAGCACTGATGCATGATTTACATACATTTTACAAACTGAATAACCAATTAGCATATCTGGCAACCAATCCGATGGAAAATTTATAACATTGCCTATGATTCTTTATAAAACTTCCAATGGAGGTACATATAACCATGCAAAACCATATAAATTACATTGATAGCTTGATAAGTATAACCACAATTTGACGTTTTCAGATTTGGTATTTTTCTGTAAGAAGCAGGTCCAAGGTGTGAAATCTAAAGTTCAGGTTCTGATTCAGACATTTTCTCAAAGTTTTAGTTCAGAAGTTTCACTCAGTCTACTACACAGATTGAACCTACCGCAAAACTGGAATCAGATCAGTATGCTCGTTTAAGGCTATGGATGTTTAGAAAATTATTTAAAATGTCTTATCGTGTAATGAGTCAAATATTTTCTATTGCTGTGTGCTCAACTCAGATCAATTAATCTCTTCTTTATTTGATGGTGAATAATGGTGGAGCAGGTGACTGGGAAGTTGTACCTCTGGATTCTAGCTCTTGATCAGCATCGCATCTGTGACTTCAAGAAGATCACTTAAGCCGTGGCTGGGATTTCTAAGTGAGGATACGAATATTTATATTCATAGTGGTGTCATCATCATGGCTAGGCTTCGCGAACAAAGATATAGGAAGGGCTCTACCCACACTTGCTACAAGCACGCTGATGGCTAAAAAGGCCGATGCGGGATAGGTAAGTCCAGTTGCAAAAGGCACAGCGGAAAGTCTCCTTAGGCAGTATTGGTGAGGCACGGTTCTTTCTGCGTTTTCTTTTCTCCTCAACACTAATTCTACATGTGTTCTCAAAGGAGGCA